TTTTCCCCTATATCAAATCGCTATTGTCTGAATATGATTAGCATGTTTTTTTTTTCCCTATCAGACATCAGGTGTTTTAACAAGATTCAACATGTTTGAATAATACAGCCACCTAATGAGTATTTAATCAGGTGAATTGGTCACTGCTAATGGTGTTAAAAGTCCTTGATTGGAGTAAGGAGTGAATCAACAAATGTTGTTGAAAAGTCCAGAACAAGTGTATAAATAACTATATGATGGGTGGAACAATTCTTTACATGCCATATCTCCAGTTTGTGTCAAAACATTCCTCTTGTGTTTCCTGGGGTGGACCCAATTGGTTGGATGTATGTTTTTTTACAAAAAAAATTGGAAATCTCCTGCATTTAAAGCCTCTCTGCTCGCAGTGGCTAAGACAACGCAGAAGTCATCATTATTAACCGAACATTAAACTCTGGGAATTTATTCCATATTATTCATCCAACCTTAGACTTCAATGGTAAGTTAGTAAGTTCACGGTTAATGTACCCCTGGTGCTCACAACCAGACACTCAAGTCCAAGGTTGAGCTGTAGCAGTTATAGTGACCCTTTAACTGGTCAGTGTTTGTAATTCACCACATTTGCACATAAACTGTGCAGGTTTTGTGGATCTTAAACATAAAAGTACTAGGTAGATATATTAGCTACCAAAACCTACATCAGTCTCACAAAAGAGGCTTAATGGAACAATCTTAATACAAAAATGAAAAAAATTACAGGGACACTATAGTCACCAGAACAACTACAGCTTAATATAGTTGTTCAATTGTCTATACCATGCTCCTGCAGGCTTTTTTACATTACAATCTATGGACATCTCCAGGTGCCACTCCTCAGATGGCCAATAGAGGTGCTTCCTGGATCAGTGCAGCACTGACATTCAGTGTCTCCACCCTCTGCATGCAGACACCAAACTTTTTCTGCATACAGACACTGAATGAATGAGGAGATACTGTTTGGCCTAAGCGGCATTTGACACCACCCCTGGAAAGCATTGTGATTGGCTGCAATCAAAACTTCTGATAATGTCAGCCAAGGAAGCAGATCAGGAGCAGAGCCAGCACCTGGAGACAGGTATAAAGGTATGATTTTACTATAATTAGTGGTGCTAAGTGAAGCAGAGGGGCTAGATAGTGTTCTAAACTCTATAGGGTCAGCAATACATGTTTGTGTTCCTGACCCTATAGTGTTCCTTTAAATTAAAAAAGCTTGATTCACACACATGTTTATAAGACATAAATAGCATCTCTCTCACAGCATGTAAAACCTTTAATGTGTATGAAATGTTAGAATGTCACACAGTACTCCTAAATGAATGTATGGGATATTTTTTGCTAATATCAGGCCATCGACCAGAGGACAGAACATATATAGAGTTTTACTATATCAAGACATTTCACCAGATTTTAGAATAGCCAGGGTTATCATAATTACCTCAAGTAAGGTGAAATTAAAGTAATTCCCAAAGGGAAGCACCTCGTCTTAAATGAGTCAAGCATCAGGGTACCAACCTAAATTAGCCAGGTTCAGATAGACCCACACCAAGTCAGCAAGTCACACAAGCTGGGTCAGAATCAACACAGAGAAACTAAAACAAATGCACAAAAAGATATTAGAAACAACAATAGAAATGGGCTAAAAACTCTATTTTGAGTTCGAAATTTAGCAGTCATAGTTTTGCACAAAAATACACTACTACGCATGCACGGTACCCAGCTGTGGAGTTTGGTGTCTGAGATCATGGTCACTCTTTTCTGATTATAAGAGCAGTAATTAAACTGCTGTTTCAGATAAGTTTTCAAATGTAACTAAATAGGAAAATAAAATGATTTCTGCCTTTAAAAAAAAATCTTTGTGGGGCGGGGCCGGACCGCCTTTTGGAATGGCCGCATGGAAGATCAGCTCCAGTTAACACTATAAAGGTCATAATTGGTGATCAATCTACCCCACCGATGCCTAAAAGCAGCGGTCCTACGTGCCCAGAGATGCTGGCACTGAAGCTGTGGCAATGCTGCACATTCTGGTCCATCTGAGTAGAAACTGGCATTTCGGAGGCTGATGCCTTTGCGGGGGGTGAGTGTGGTGGACGGGCGCCACTGTGCTATTCTGAAACCTCCGGAGCTACGTGGTGCAGGTCCCGTTCCCCCTCCCCCTTTGGACTGTGGGGGGGGGGTCCTGGTCCTCGCTTCAGGGACCCACTGCAATGCAGAGAAGCAGTTATTCATCGAAGCAGAGCGAAAACCCTTTCTAAGATGGCAGAACCCTCATGTCGCACAGATAGCAGCAGGGACCAAGATGAACTTACCTGCAAAATCAAGCAACGCTTCGCGGACTTCGGATCAAATTGGATCAGTGTTTGCAACAGTCTGTCAAGCAAGAGACAACCAGAGACAATGCCCAACCATTTCGGAGGTTACCAACCAAGTCTCAGAGGGAAGTGTCTGTATACAGCCATGGCAATGGTTGGAACAGTCTGAAATGGCGTCAGCAGCGAAGCGCATGCCAGAAGCCCAACACTATCAAAGCTCTGCACAGTCATCACTATGGTGGGAGATAGCACCACTGAGGTTGTGTTGTTGAAGCAACACCGGAGAAATGGTGGATACAGGCAGCTGGAACATACGTAGACCGTCCTAAGTCTCTGGAGGGTGTTGGTTGAACCGCAACTGACCCATGCAGCTAAAGTTAAGCCTAACTCCATCAGATTACCTTTATTGAAGTCTACTTAACCTTATGCATTATAGTTTTAGATTCAAAAAAATCATGTCTCGTGCTCAAACTCCCACTACTCTTGGGCGGCAACAACAACCATAGTACACATCAGCCCCAGTACATATAGTAAAAACCAAAGAAAAAAGTTACCTGCGCTCTTTCCCAAATCCCTATGCATATTTACACAAATGGACGTTATTTAGTTACTCCAATGGCCATTAGAGGGGAATGCCCACCTGCCACGTCATGACAAAACTCTTGGGCAGCAGCAACAACCATAGTACACATCAGCCCCAATACATACAGTAAAAACCAAAGAAAAAAAGTTACCTGCGCTCTTATTTAGTTACTCCAGTGGCCATTAGCGGGACATGCCCACCTGCCACATCAAGGTCCTACACTAACTATTCACCTTGCTTCCTTGAGCTTCTGGCAAATGTATCTCTAATGAGGCAGAGAGGGGTATTCTTTATATACACCCCAAAATGCTTTTTGAACACAGTTACATCTAAAAAGGGTATGCTAGTCGAGTCACTAATAGCTGTCACTTTAACCGATAGAGGCAGTGAATTGATTTGTTCTTGAAGTTCTCCGATTGTACCCTTCCACACCAGAAAAATATCGTCCACAAACCTCAAGTAATGGATTATCTTCTCCCCATATGTGGTTAAGATATATCTGCTCTCAAACCAGTACATAAATCCATTGGCATATGAGGGCACCATGGCCGCCCCATCACCGTTTCAGTTAATTGGAGAAAGAATTTACCCTAAAATCTGAAATATTTACACGTTAGTGCGATGTTCAACAATTCTACAAGGTATTCAATCGGTGGACCTGAGTATACTGTTGAGGATGTTAAAATTTCTCTGATGGCTTCTGTTCCTTGTGTGTAAGGTATTATCGTATATAGACTTTGTACATCCATAGTGACTAAAAAAGTCTCATCATTATTTAATGTTATTTTTTCAATCCGTTGTAAAAAGTCACGAGTATCTTTGAGACATGTAGGCAAATTTTGAATGCTATCTTTAATGTGAAAATACACAAATTTTGCAATGGGTTCCAAAAGTCCTTCATTTGCAGACACGATAGGTCGGCCTGGGGGATTCTCAGCGTTTTTGTGAATTTTGGAAAGTGTATACATTACTGGGTGCCTTGGATTTTATATCCAGGTATCCTAATGTTTGGCCTATATCCGATACTGCATGAATTTTCTTTTAAAATGTATTAACCTGATCAAATGTAAGACGTTGGTATGTAGTTTTGCCTTCTAATTGGTGTAAAATCTCCAGTCTATATTTTGTGTATGATTGTACCACAATGGCTCCCCCTTTATCAGTGGAAAAGTTCAGTCTTTTCTTCTTTTGTGAGATTTTGTTTGCATCTTGGTGGATTTTTTGTTATTAAATCGGCTTCCATTTGTATACCTTGCATAAATGATTTAATGGATGTATTGTTTGTGTGTATATCTCTTTTCTCATGTGTACACAGCATCTATGGAAATTTAAGTTTTTGAATACATAAAATTTGAAATGGAAGACCTGTGAATGCAGTTTCCTTTTGTCATTTATTTATTATATTACTAACGTGAATTTGCACACAGGGGAAAATTATTTTTGTATACTGTTAAAGGTGGTGTGCTGAGCGTTTTGTGGATATATATACAATTCACGCTGGGTCCCAGTCTTGTTTATTGCGTGGGTGCCACTCTGACCTCAAAATATGAAATACCTTGTTGGAAGTGCACTCACAGGACTCAATACTATTGCCAAAAATGTGCCATTTATTCAAGCTTCAAAAGTTGATTACATAGTGTCGACGTTTCAGTCCACTAGAGAGCAATTTGTGCAGAAATCCATATCATTCCAAAGGGTTCACATACTTTTTCTTGCAACTTTATATATATATATATATATATATATATATATATATATATATATATATATATATATAAAGACTTACATTTTATTTTGCTTTAAATTGGCACTCTCAGGACCAAAACAACTTTATCATGCCCTGGATTCTCAGTGCTTAGTTTTCTGCCATTTTAGAGTTAAATTAGAGATTATTCTAGCTTTAGTAACCGAATAATCAAATTTGTATTAATGACAGGAGGCAAATATTTGTTCTTTCTGCTTACCTTTCTTTACTGAAACCACCCAGCAGCAAAGAAACAGTTAACAGTAGTGAGAAAAAAATATTAACCAATCAGAGTGTACAGTCATGGAATATACAGGGAGTGCAGAATTATTAGGCAAATGAGTATTTTGACCACATCATCCTCTTTATGCATGTTGTCTTACTCCAAGCTGTATAGGCTCGAAAGCCTACTACCAATTAAGCATATTAGGTGATGTGCATCTCTGTAATGAGAAGGGGTGTGGTCTAATGACATCAACACCCTATATCAGGTGTGCATAATTATTAGGCAACTTCCTTTCCTTTGGCAAAATGGGTCAAAAGAAGGACTTGACAGGCTCAGAAAAGTCAGAAATAGTGAGATATCTTGCAGAGGGATGCAGCACTCTTAAAATTGCAAAGCTTCTGAAGCGTGATCATCGAACAATCAAGCGTTTCATTCAAAATAGTCAACAGGGTCGCAATAAACGTGTGGAAAAACCAAGGCGCAAAATAACTGCCCATGAACTGAGAAAAGTCAAGCGTGCAGCTGCCACCATGCCACTTGCCACCAGTTTGGCCATATTTCAGAGCTGCAACATCACTGGAGTGCCCAAAAGCACAAAGTGTGCAATACTCAGAGACATGGCCAAAGTGAAAGGCTGAAGAGCGACCACCACTGAACAAGACACACAAGCTGAAACGTCGAGGGCTGGTTGAGAATATCTCAAGACTGATTTTTCACAAGGTTTTATAGGACTGGTAGTAAGGAGTGAGTCTTACGGTGAGGCCCGAATGGATAGACTGGCGGCTGGATTATTAAGGGCAGAGAGCTCCGATCCGACCAAGGCGCCAGCAAGGTGGAGGTAGGGTACTGGTTTGAGCTGTATCATCAAAGGGTAGGAGCTTACGTGGGCGCGGGTTGAGGATGAGTGCAAAAGCTCAATACGGTCCTACTGCCAGTTCCTGGAAGACACCTTCTTCAAGCAGTGGTACAGGAAGAAGTCTGCATCCTTCAAGAAAAACATGATTTTCATGCAGGACAATGCTCCATCACGCGTCCAAGTACTCCACAGCGTGGCTGGCAAGAAAGGGTATAAAAGAAGAAAATCTAATGACATGGCCTCCTTGTTCACCTGATCTGAACCCCATTGAGAACCTGTAGTCCATCATCAAATGTGAGATTTACAAGGAGGGAAAACAGTACACCTCTCTGAACAGTGTCTGGGAGGCTGTGGTTGCTGCTGCACACAATGTTGATGGTGAACAGATCAAAACACTGACAGAATCCATGGATGGCAGGCTTTTGAGTGTCCTTGCAAAGAAAGGTGGCTATATTGGTCACTGATTTGTTTTTGTTTTGTTTTTGAATGTCAGAAATGTATATTTGTGAATGTTGAGATGTTATATTGGTTTCACTGGTAATAATAAATAATTGAAATGGGTATATATTTGTTTTTTGTTAAGTTGCCTAATAATTATGCGCAGTAATAGTCACCTGCACACACAGATATCCCCCTAACATAGCTAAAACTAAAAACAAACTAAAACCTACTTACAAAAATATTCAGCTTTGATATTAATGAGTTTTTTGGGTTCATTGAGAACATGGTTGTTGTTCAATAATAAAATTAATCCTCAAAAATACAACTTGCCTAATAATTCTGCACTCCCTGTATATATATATATATATATAGAGAGAGAGAGAGACATATAAAAACTTAATAATCTGTTGCAATAATTTGTGGCAGAGTTTACAAGATTAAAGTATATGCTTGCAATATCAATAAAATAGAATAACATACACTCTTGAACAAGTCAACCTTTCAGTCATGATACAATGGAGCAGTGTCTCTGTCTCCAAAATCTCTCCTCTGTGTTTCTAATATTAATATTCACTCATATTTATACCTTAGATTTTCAATTAGGTCATGTTAGGACCTACCTTAACTTGGCAAAGATACAAGACCATGACTTGGTCATTTCACATGGGGACATTTTAATCAGTCTATTGTTATAACCTAGACATCTTATCTATGTTTACACTAAAGCTTAAGGGTATACATGACATGGGAAATTCCCTGACTTGTTGTTACATAAACCTAGGACAAAATGGCATCCTAAAGTCTGAACACCATATTCACTAAATATGGGTAAGAGGTAATTTATCAAACAAACGTTGTATGAAAAACAATGTTTTGCATTTCTAACAAATTGTCAGTTTATAGGATTTCTTAAAGGCAAAGTACACTGTTTAAGATATACAACTTTTCATTCTAAAAGCATGTGATATTTGCATATGCCCATAACCCTATAAAGTAAATTGTACTATTTTCTATGATTATGTATGTAGCCACCCCTACCCTGGCTGTGAATCAGCACAAAAAATGGCATTACTTTCTATTAGCACAGTGAGTTTAATTTAGAAGTTTTGATCTCTTGCTCTGTTAATTGAACTTTAATTGCACACAGTGGGCTGTTAACAGAGCAGGAAATAAGAAATTCTAAATAAAACTGAATGTGTAATTAGGGAAGTTTAAACATTAGATCTCTTTTAAAAAAAATATGTAGGCAGACTGTGTCGATTATGTGCAGCAGAGGTGTGGCTAGAGCTGCATAAATAAATTGATTTAACTCCTAAATGGCAGAGAATTGAGTAGTGAGACTGCAGGGACATGGTTTGTACACCAAAGCCTTACAGTGTGCCTTTACTGTAATAATACCTGCATCTCCAATGTTGTATTATGTTATGACCTGCCCTTAAGTGTTCATCTTCCGCTCAGTGAAATGAAGTTTAGATTTATCTAAAGTGCCATGGTAAGCAAAGGTAATTATTGGTGTATAGAATGGATATGAAATGTAGGTGACTAGGGGGAAATAAAAAGACATGAGCTATATCAGTAAAATAAATGTCTTCTAAATATAACCAGCACTCTCTTTTAGTACCATTAGCCATAATAAACAAGTGAATATCTTGGAACTGATGACTTGATAGAATTGAATAATACGGCTTTCTTAAATTAGTTCTTACTATCATGGCACACTAAAGGTGCATATTTATCTTCTACAAATGGAAATATGAAGTAGAAAAGTAATATATGTCTAATACTTTATGCACATAAATATGTTTTGTAATTTTTTTTCCACAATAAAATATAGTGATTCAACCGAGAAATGTTAGGTTTAGGTCATTTCTCCAAATTGATGAAAGATGAACTCATCCTTAAATTATATACACAAAGTGCTTTTCGCGTAAAATTATTCCGTAAATCAATAAATCACTTATTGATATGAATTGTAGAATATTTGGGAATCTTAATTTAAAAAAAATCATAGTTTCCCTAAAGCAGACATCAAAACCATGAAGTCAAAAAGATAAATGAGAAGTCAGCTGTATATTTTACAAAATTATTTTGTCTCATTAAAGCAAATTTAACCTGTTCAATGAATCATTCTCCATTAAGTTTACAATTAATCTGTGAAATACTTGATTCTTATAAGAAACAGACTTGTTGCATTGAAATACAAGTTGCTAGATTGTACCTCTGCCATGAAATGGTAACTGAGGGACCTAATAAGCTAAGCAGAAGTTCAGACTCTTGTGATTAACCACATGTAGGAAGAGTTGATGAAAAACCAAACGTTCATATAAATAAAAAATTGAGTAGATATAACAATGAAATAAGAACAGGGATGTATAGGAACAGTGTAAAGTAGACATATATGAAAGAATGTGAAAGACGAACAGACATAAGTGGAGTAGATAACAAATCGTTAAACTGATAGGTTAGAGAAGAGATAGTTAAAATGTCAATGGGGAGGTAAAATTATGGCTACTGTATTTGCCGATATGTAACCTCTAACTCTGAATAGATATACAGGGAGTGCAGAATTATTAGGCAAGTTGTATTTTTGAGGATTAATTTTATTATTGAACAACAACCATGTTCTCAATGAACCCAAAAAACTCATTAATATCAAAGCTGAATATTTTTGGAAGTAGTTTTTAGTTTGTTTTTAGTTTTAGCTATGTTAGGGGGATATCTGTGTGTGCAGGTGACTATTACTGTGCATAATTATTAGGCAACTTAACAAAAAACAAATATATACCCATTTCAATTATTTATTATTACCAGTGAAACCAATATAACATCTCAACATTCACAAATATAAATTTCTGACATTCAAAAACAAAACAAAAACAAATCAGTGACCAATATAGCCACCTTTCTTTGCAAGGACACTCAAAAGCCTGCCATCCATGGATTCTGTCAGTGTTTTGATCTGTTCACCATCAACATTGCGTGCAGCAGCAACCACAGCCTCCCAGACACTGTTCAGAGAGGTGTACTGTTTTCCCTCCTTGTAAATCTCACATTTGATGATGGACCACAGGTTCTCAATGGGGTTCAGATCAGGTGAACAAGGAGGCCATGTCATTAGATTTTCTTCTTTTATACCCTTTCTTGCCAGCCACGCTGTGGAGTACTTGGACGCGTGTGATGGAGCATTGTCCTGCATGAAAATCATGTTTTTCTTGAAGGATGCAGACTTCTTCCTGTACCACTGCTTGAAGAAGGTGTCTTCCAGGAACTGGCAGTAGGACTGGGAGTTGAGCTTGACTCCATCCTCAACCCGAAAAGGCCCCACAAGCTCATCTTTGATGATACCAGCCCAAACCAGTACTCCACCTCCACCTTGCTGGCGTCTGAGTCGGACTGGAGCTCTCTGCCCTTTACCAATCCAGCCACGGGCCCATCCATCTGGCCCATCAAGACTCACTCTCATTTCATCAGTCCATAAAACCTTAGAAAAATCAGTCTTGAGATATTTCTTGGCCCAGTCTTGACGTTTCAGCTTGTGTGTCTTGTTCAGTGGTGGTCGTCTTTCAGCCTTTCTTACCTTGGCCATGTCTCTGAGTATAGCACACCTTGTGCTTTTGGGCACTCCAGTGATGTTGCAGCTCTGAAATATGGCCAAACTGGTGGCAAGTGGCATTGTGGCAGCTGCACGCTTGACTTTTCTCAGTTCATGGGCAGTTATTTTGCGCCTTGGTTTTTCCACACGCTTCTTGCGACCCTGTTGACTATTTTGAATGAAACGCTTGATTGTTCGATGATCACGCTTCAGAAGCTTTGCAATTTTAAGAGTGCTGCATCCCTCTGCAAGATATCTCACTATTTTTGACTTTTCTGAGCCTCAAGTCCTTCTTTTGACCCATTTTGCCAAAGGAAAGGAAGTTGCCTAATAATTATGCACACCTGATATAGGGTGTTGATGTCATTAGACCACACCCCTTCTCATTACAGAGATGCACATCACCTAATATGCTTAATTGGTAGTAGGCTTTCGAGCCTATACAGCTTGGAGTAAGACAACATGCATAAAGAGGATGATGTGGTCAAAATACTCATTTGCCTAATAATTCTGCACTCCCTGTATACCCTCAGTAGTGATAATAATACATACAATATGGACTTAATATGTGTAACGGATCGCCTGGCACCCCAACTGGGTACCTCCATTAAAGGATGCTCCTAGCGCTTCCTGAGGACTCCAAGCACTGCAGCAGACACCACAACCACCGAACCGGAGAAGTATATGAATCTTCTGAAGCATATGAAAGCTGTAGACAGTTGAATAGGAACCATACGAATAGGTTTACTCTCCTAGCAGTCAAACTGGAACAGCATACAATAAATCCTCCCCCAATAATGAGACGACACTTCACTTTGAGGGTTAAGCAGGAACTCCTGTGCTGGCACACCCAGCCTGGTTTTTATTACAGTCTTTCACATACAGGACCGCCCAGAGGGAGGTATAAAACAACTAATCACATATCAGTTACATCCCACATATTCCCTCCCCTTATCCTGAGAGGAAACTCAATTACACATACAGTTAACACATACTTTCTACCCAACTTTCATAACTTAAAAACCATACATCATATTCACAATCAATCCATTCAGGGGAACAACATATTAAAAAATGGCATGAATCCGACCAGGGGTTCAAAAGTTAGTAAAAGTAACTTTTGGGCCCTGGCTGGCACATGGCTATCTGGCTCAAACAGGTTTTACAGAGCCCTCTATCCTGGAGACAATGGGGGAAAGTAATCCAATTATCCGGGGATAGAGGCAGACTCCATTGAGCGCATGGTTGCAAAAAGACATAAAACACTTTAAAATACATAAAGTCACTTTTTACACATAACACACAGACATTTCACATATCCCCAGATAGCTGGGATCTGAGAGCACAAAACTACCGAAGAGCGCTTAGATCCTATTCACACAGTTCAATTGCCATGGAGCCGAAGTCTTTAACTACACGAATGGTCTCCATGGCATAGCTATCTGGGTTAACACATTCACATAAAGTCTGGTCCATAGTCCAAAGGCAAGAGGCGGGCAAGCAGCCCCCTCCAAGGACACGTGGCGAGGCCGGTTTCGCCACAATATGTATATCAGAAGCAAATATAAACATGTATATAAGAATATTGAATTTTGTTTGTATTTAGTAGATAGATTTACAGACAGGGGTATTTCTAAACTAATAGATTTCTCAAAGCATTGCAAATACAACATCTGGCCTATTTTGTATTGTGCACACACTACCTGGCAGTACCAGGAGTACCTGAGATTCAGATATATTAAGAAGCTTTTATGTAATGACAAATGTTTTTCATATTAATAGTTCTTTAAGAAGCAGAAATGTTCTATTAGACCTTTGGGTACCATTCCATGGTACCAACAGGTGACTTCTCATTTTAACTCTTAATGGGCAACTGAATTGCAGTCACAGGCTAGGAGCCACCAGAAAAGGTCTTTATTGCTCCAGAAAACATGTTGACCATTGTTGCACGGTTGAACATATCATGTCCAATCATGTATGAATATCATATCACAATATTTTTCTTCAGGTTCTTTCATGTTCTATGTTAAATTTTGTATATATTGTTTATTAATATTGTTTTTGTATTTTGTTGTACCTAATGTGACAATGCAATGATTTGTGGACCCAGGACATACTTGAAAACGAGAGAAATCTCAATGTATCTTTCCTGGTAAAATATTTTATAAATAAATAAATAAATAATAATGTAAGTTGACTCTGCACTACACAATTCCATGTAACTCACCATGTCAACTCAGTCACCTACATTCTGGCTCTAGCCTCTAATATTCATACCCATAATTATTTCCATGATTCTAATCGTAAACATCTTACATCTAACTGTTTTACTTCTTCTCCTCCTGTTCCTAATCCATTGCTGATTGACAAAATATGAAATACAATCATTCATTTCTGCTACAATATTTAACTTTACTAAGCTTTGCATTCATATGTGTGCTTAATGAAATCAAAACATGTCCGGTTAGTTTTTAGAACTATTTCAAAGTTATAATATGGTTTCTCCAGCCAAACCCCATAGAAATGCTACTGCTATAAAAGGTCTGTTAATTAAAACTGTGTAATTGTTGAAGAAATGTAGCATTGGTGTCCCATGCTATTTCAGTGGGTCCCCAATGGTTGGATCACGCTGTTCATGATTGTTGTAGTATCACTGTTTTCTAAAAAAGGACCCTCCATATAAATAGTAAATATGCCACAAAGAAAACATGCCCTGAAACCCATTTTCATGTTTTCTTTGAGGATACATACAATGTTGTTTTACAATACCAGCAGTACTAGTTTCTATTCTATTTCTTGCATTGGCTTACATTTGGCCCCCTTTTATCCAGCACATATTCTCATCTTTGCTAGGCAATGACCAACTAGAGGATTTTTATAGAGAACCAACTATGTGTGCACATGACTGTCCAATCACAGACTTCTCAATGCACTACAGCTCATTGAACAGTCTTTCAAAAGTAGGCAATCTGCGCAGTCTGGGCAAGTTTTTCCCTTTAGTTTAGCTCCAAAGAGTTGAACAACCACAAAGTAAATTGTATCACTGTTAACTCAAGAGGGTGCTGACAAACACACTCTTCCTACGTAACGCATTTCAGCAAGCTGACATTCTTAATTTATTTGGAGTGTTCCATTAAGTGTAATGAAGGCCCCTTTGATACTGAGAACAATCCAATAAAGATGTTTGAGAAGTTACTGTTGTTATATATGAAATAACAGTTGAAGAATTGGTGATTGAAATCATTTTAAAATTGATAAATAGGTCACCAAGCTAATACGTATCTCTAATGCTTGTCTCTAAATTCCAGTGATGCTTAGCATTTTTTCATAAAGTCATTTTGGTAATCCAATGCCTTTATTGAAAGAATTGGTGCAATCAAGATATATAAAGCTAAAAATCTAAATATTGTAGATTAATAAACAAAGTAAGACTAAAGCAAGAGCATTGTGAAATTCAAAAATATTAAAATGTTGAATATGGGCTTCCTAGTTTCAATCGCTTTATTGTCAATTTTAATACCAACTCAATGAATTTAATAGTTTATAAATTCCAAAGTGATTATACCATAAAGCAAGTTGTATCACGTTTAAGTTTCCTTGAGTGAATTTATAGCTAATCTACATTCTTCCACATCTTTCAGCTGAAATAATAACATAGTGTAGCTATGACACAAATAACCTTGCAAAAAAACAACTTTGGTAATACAAGTGAAAAAACATGGTTTATCTTTAGAAAATATCTGGTATATTTGGTTATATTTGGTTCGATCGAATGATCAATCGATTGTCTAAAATCAGAGCTGAAATGTACTGAAATCACTAACCAAATGAGCCACACAGTGGCTGAATATGTATGTTTTGATTAGTGATTCGCAATTTGGCCCATGGCACCAAAAAGAGAGATGAATAATGGCTAGGGGACACTAACTAAATGTTGATTTAATTCATAGATCAAATGAGAAGTGAACAATGAAGGGAAAAAAGCAGTTGCAGTAAAAAAAAAACAAAAAACCTATATATATTAAATAAATGTATCATATAAAAATATAGATAATTTTTTAATGCTCCTTCTCCTTTTCCCTCTATTGGTTACTTTTTCTAACTTGATCCTTGAACCAAATGGTAGAAAAATGCTCCTATCAGTATAGTGCAAAATATATACATCATCTTATATAATGTAATGATTTTGCAGTAGTCTGATTGGTCCATTTTCTCTCCCCCTTAGTTCATTTTTGACACCAATATTCTGCTCAGCCAAACCACCATATTTTTTTCTGAACAAATTTCTAATTTTGGGAAAAATGATTTGGCTGAACAAGTCTAATAATCCGCATAAATAAGACACTAGTTAGCATGTGCGATCTACACTCGGTGCCAATGCAAAACCATGCATGGGAATGGAGATGGGATAGATTGGGAGAGAAAAAGAACTAGGAGAAAGAGGAAGATAAAGAAATGTTAGAGGCAAAAACACAATGAGATAGAAAAAGTATTAAAGACATTATGTACAAGTAGATAACACCATGTGCTATAATATAAGTATGGCTCACATTTGTTTTTATCAAAGTATAATTTATCTATAAGAATTACTAATTTGATGGCTCGTTGTCTTTAGCAATTATGTAGCTGTTTTACAGTTATAATTTCTCACATTAAATTTGCCGTCTGTCTCTCCTTCTTACCTCACAAAATTTACACCACCTTAGAAAAAAACCCATCCATCCAGAGATGTTTGAATTTATTCTTAGAGTTCACACTGAGTGAACATGATCTGCTAATAATTTTCTCTCTTGATAATAATCTGAGAAGTTGAAGTGGAGCCTGTGCTCTGTTACCTTTTCAGAAAAATCATTCCTTGCAATTTAGCATTGACCGGATTTAATCTTTTCATTATAAAATTGATTGCTATGGAATTTCTGCAATCATTTCTATTGTGTGAATAAGAAAATCCTATAAAGCCTATGGACTATTTTTGTGTAGAAAATATGTCATATATTTTTAGTGAAGTAACACAGAATGTATGTTTCAAAGTAAGCTACAGTGG